CTGGGGAGGGATGCGAGCACCGGCGGGATTCCTGGGCTGCATGCAGGAGCGGTTCAGTGGCAACTTGGAAAAGTACAAAGATGGGTCAAGTGAGGATGCAGGGAAATCCCCAAACAAGCAGGTCAGGTGGAAGTGAGGACTTCTCTGGTGTCCCAAGGGAGTGAGCACAAAGTTACCCGCAAGACGTTTATTCAGATGTCCTTCTCTTTCTCCCTCCACCCTTCCTGTTCTCTGCACACAAGTGTGCAGCACCTTCTACGTGCTTGTCCTGGTGCTGGGAACGAGACTAGATAGTCGTGCAGGCTGCAGTGGGCTGGGCCCAGGGCTTGCGAGGAGCACGCGCACAGCGATGGGGCAGAGAACTCTCATTTCTCTACAGTAGGCACTTGCCTTTGTCGTCCAGGGTCTTCATGCCCTGTCCCTGCCTGCCCTCCTTCCACCTCTCGGCTCCCCTTTCTTATACGCGGTGTTTTACCCGGAATTACCTGCTGTTTCCTGCATGCACACGCTGCTTGTCCTGTAGCGGCTGTGTTCTTTCCACTGTGCTCCAGTCATCAAGGAATTGGGTTAAGATAACTCCAAGAATCATTTCCAAGGTTGCTTGTGCAGTGTCTGCCACGTGGTGCCTGGATCAGTGGGAAAACTTACTGTGGAAACTTCTGGAAGCTCTCGAGAGTGGAATGTAGCTGAATGGGCTGTGGATCCATGTCGCCTGGGGCCACAGGGAATTGATGGAGGGCGTGGGGGCTTGGAGGCGCGCGTTTGGGACAGTTTTGAATGGGGTTGACTTCGCTTATGCTCCCTGCAAGCTGCCCCGGCTGCAGGCAGTTACTGGGGTGGGGATCCCAGGAAGCAGGAGTGAGGTGTGGGGAGGGTGAGACAGGGAAGGGGGAGAGACAGGGGTTTGCTGCTGGGTTCCAGCTGTGGTCACTGGGCGTTTGACTCTGCCAGGATCTCGAAGCTTCCAGAATGTGTCCCAGAAATGTGCATTCAGGCCGGGAGCCCAGAGTGGTAGTGCATTGCTTCCCATTCCTCCTTGGTTGAGGGTCGTCCCCACCACGTTGACCCGTCTCCACCTCTGGGTTGCAGGGGCCTAGCTCGAATGCTTCAAGACACCTGTGCAAGCTTGAGGTCGGGCACTGGGGTGCAGGGTGAGCCTGAGTGTCCACTGTAGCTGCTGCCAAGGTCGTGTGTGGGCCTCGGGGACATGGTGAGAACCCCGCTGGCATTTGCTATGGGGAGAATCAGAGCCCACTTGGGCACGGAGGGTGCTGGTGGCCGCCCAGGAGGTGGAAGGTGCATCTTCTCCCGTTGCCTGCTGTCTTACTCCGCGTTTTCTTTTACTGTCTTGTACTGCCCGCCCCTCCACCTCCTTTCTCCTGCCGTCCTCCTTACATAGCAGCTCCATCTCCCTGTTGGGAGGGTCTCAGAATTCAGAGATGCAGAGCTTGTCTGACTTGACCCCCCCCCCATGTGGTTCAGTCTTTCTCACAGCATCACAGTTGCTATGTGAAGCTCCTCGAAAACCCTCCTGAGAAACGCATCTCTAAAGCCACCCCTCCCTCGTTGGATGGCTCTGACTGCTGGAAATTTCTTCTTCTGGTGAAGTCTGTTGCTGACCTCTACCCATTGGTCCTAGCTTCGCCTTTTTGAGCACAACAGAGCAGGTCTTCATTGTGTTCTAGGTTAGGTCCTCTGCTATCGGACTGCGTCAGGCTCAATAAAATAACAAGAAGACACAGACCCAATTTCCTGGAGGTCACAGCACAGATGAGGCATCCAGACAGATAACTGCAAAGCAGTGTGGGAAATCCGACTGTTGATAATGTTGATTTCTTGGGGTGTGTGTGTGTGTGTGTGTGTGTGTGTGTGTGTGTGTGTGTGTTTGTGTGTAAATCTGAACTGCCTTTGTCACCTGGACAAGCAGGGGCCTGTGGATTGGGTGTTAGATGTTACGCGGACCTGCATGCAGTTCCAGGGGCTGTAGTTCAGTATTGTTGGAGCCTGAAGGGGTGAGCAGATGAGTACATGTGGGTGCGTACTTGGGAATCTTGGCCTTGAGGGTGCAGGGGTCGTGGGAGAGATGATTGATGGCAAATCTTGGAGGACTTTATCTAGCACTTTCTGCTCATGGAGATGGGAGGGAAGCCGTTGAAGAGTTTTAAGCAGGGAGTGACAGGGTCAGATTTGGGTTTTAAAAACGATTCACTCTCTGGTCAAGATGGAAAATGGTTTGGAGAGTGTGTTAGTCGAGATACTTTCAGTAGAGGCCTCAATTAGAAACGAATTGGAAAGTGGGAATGTCCATTCTCCCATGTCACAGATGCATGGGGATCGGCGGTTCCAGGGTCGGGTCGGGTCGGGGGGCGCAGATGTACCATTGCCATCCCAGTGTCCGTCCTTCATTCCGGACCCTCAAGGCGTCGACCTGGGCTTTCCCTTGATTTCTTGTAGGTTCTGGGTGGTTGCCTCAGTTCCAGGCAGTGGACATAGTGATGCCCAGTGAAGGAGAGGTTTTCTTAGGGAAGGAAACCGTTCCCAGAAGCCCTTGGCAGCCTTCACCCCAGACCCTGTTGGCCATGCTGGGGTCCTGGAGTTCCTGCTGCCAGAATGGCTGGAGCGGCTTCCTCGTTGTCCCGGGGACCGGGCAGGGTGGCTGAAGCAAGGACACGAATAGGAGCTGTGGTAATAGTTGGGCTGAGAGACCAGAGTCCCATCCAGTCTCCTCATCTCTACCTGGGTCAACTCCCATGTCTTTAGCAGGTTTTAGTCCTCCAGACTTTCTTCCACTCCTGTCCACCATCCTCGGGCACCCAGTTCTGCAGTGTATTCTTAACGTACGATGCGTAAAGCTGAGTCCAGACATGGTCAATCCAGTGCAGAGTGTGGGGAGTGTAACCATGATTCCTTCAGCTACTTTGTGGTCATGCCGGCTGACCTTGTGTGTATGCTCTCGGCTTTTGTAGTTGATTCATGATGTAAACCCAGATTCAGCTTACGGCAAGCTCTAATTCTTGTTGTTGTTTTTTTTTTTTATGTAAACGTTTTCTATTCCTGTTGTGTCATCCACGTATTGAATTGTAATCTGTGGTGAATTCTTTTATAAAGGAAAGCGTCATTTTTAAAAGCAAGAAGTTCTATAGTATGTTTCTACCTCTTTATAGCATCCAGTATATTCTATAATTATTTATGCACACTTATCTCTTAAAACTGCCCAATGCAGATCAAAAATCAGAGAACATCAGGTAAGCATTGGCAGTGACTTCTGGGATAATGTGTTTTGCCCCATTCTTCAGCTTCTTAGGAGTCATTGTGTTCTTCAAGGGGTGGATATATGTAACCGTCTTGACTTTTCCCTTTGGCCTTGCAGAGTACACTCTGAATCATGATCTCATTTACTAATATTTCTTTTCAGTTTGCTGTTACCATGTTTGGTGCTGACACTAATTATATGACTAAGGACCTTTTTCCAGCAGTTAAAAAAAACCCATGACTGTTTCTACCAGATCTAAAAATGTTCAAGCACCTGGATGATTGGGACAAGCGCGAAAAGACTCTCATTTATAGAACACAGAAAATTGTTTGTTTCAATCCACCTGCCCCATTAGCCAAGTTCTTTTCCTGGCCTCGTCTTGAGAGAGATTTCCTTCAGCCAGCATGCCGTCCTAGGAGCTTGCACTTCTCCATTTTTCAGTCTTCCTTCAGGCGTCCATCGGTGGGTTTCTGCGTGGGTCCGGCTGCGGGCAACTTGAATCACGGGAAGCACAGGCTTCCTGAGTTGCCTCAGGCTGTCTCCCTCTGGTTTCTCCCTTTTCTCCGGCTTCTGCTTTATTACTTCCTGGTTCTGACTTCACCTCCCTGACAACCCCTATTCCAGTGCTTTCCAAGCCTGCACCATGTGCCTGTCCCGTGACCATCCACCCACCCCGTGTTCGTCTCTAACGCGGGGCTGTGCCGAGTGGGTCCTGTCTCTTTGTTGGAATGTTCTGAGCAAGTAGTTCTTGGGCAGAGGCTACTGCAGGTTTGTGGCTGTGATTCTTGGAAAGAGACAACTCCTATCCTTTCCTTCCCCGTATTTCCTTCTCACTTAGGAACTGGGAATAGCACGCACTCCTTCATGCTTCACTTTGCTATGAAGTGTTTCTTACCCCTCAGGCTGCAGGGCTTTCTAGAGCAGGGTCTGGGTCTGTGCCCAGGTTACTTTTATTTATTTATTTATTTTGTAGCTAAGCTTGTTTTCTTTTTTTCTTTAAACATCTTTATTGGAGTATAATTGCTTTACAACGGTGTGTTAGTTTCTGCTGTATCACAAAACCCTGTCAGCCTTGATATCCACCACGCCTGGCACATGGAAGGCACCTACTAACTGGAAGATGAGTAACTGAACGACTGCTTCTTAGGCTGTAAGTCTAAAGAAGACCATGTCTTCTCCGCAGTGTTGATTGACGGTGGATGACACTGTGGGCTGGTTGGCTTCATGACAGCAAGATGAGTGGCTCTGCCTGCCCTGTCAGCTGTATCCTCCGTGCCCATGTGGTGGCCTGTGGCGGGGGATGATATTTATTGAATCACGTGAAAGACTGAAGAAGCAAAGATGCTGCCCGAAGGGGTAAAGGGGCCTGCGTGGCACCGTGGACCAGCGTCTGTATCACACGTGTATATTTCCTTGACTGTCATCCCGTAAAAGGGTTGGGGCTGCGTGCACTCCCTGACTCCATCACTGACACAGGAGGACGTTCTATGCATCTTGGTATTTGCTCCTTAGGTAACGAATCTGACCTTGAACTGGAGAAGAAGTATAAGGAAGATGATGGAGAAAAGGCCCCGAAGAGACTGCGGACTCCGAGAGTGGAGAAAGTCCAGAAGGTCTGCTCGGGAAAAGAGGCCGCGCAGATCTCCGGAGCCAAGAAGCCCATCATAAGTGTGGTTTTAACGGCTCACGAAGTGATTCCAGGTGAGCAAAACAAGCGGGAGGGGACAGAATGGGACTCTCTGGGCGGGGCTGTGCCGCAGGCAGCCTGACAGCTGGGGCTGGGATCCTGAGCGGCTTCGTCACTGTCGGGCTCCCCACTGAATTACCCAGTACCTTGGGATGATGGCTGACCTGTCACTGTCCAGGGCCATGGTGGACGAGAGTGTCCAGAGGAAAGGGAGTGAGGGCTGCCCCTGCTGCTGCCTCCGCCACCTCTGCAGCCACGACCTGTCCTTGTCGTTTGAGTGGCCGCTCACAGGAGCAGTGGCCAAGGAGAGTGTCCCTTTCTTTGCCCCCTCACCAGCCCCTCTCTTGGATGTCCTCCCTGCCCTTACCGCCCCATCCTACGTGTAAGACCACTCACACCACATGGAGGTTGGCGGCTTCTCCAAAACCCTCCACCTCACTTTTTTTTTTCTTTTTTTGCATTTTTTAGTGGGTTCATCATATATTTTATGATACTAGAAATTCCTGTCTCCTCTTCCTTAAACATAAAATAGCCAGTGGATTTCTTATACTACCCTTTTTAAAAAAGGTCTCTTCCAGGAAAGGATACTTTAGACAAAAAGCAGTTTATGATAGTAGATTCCAGAGTATAATGGGTTTTTTCCTATCCATTTGAGGTGATAGCTGTTAAATAAAATTTTGAAAAATCAAGTTTAGGATTTTGAGGACAGCTAGAGCCTTTTTAAACATCTTTTTTCAGTGCTAATAGTCTTGGTAACTCATTATTTAAAATGAAAACGCTGAATAAATGCCTCTTGATGCTTCAGTGCAGGGTAAGGTAATCAGCAGAGAAAAAGCCGTGTAAGATTATGTGACTAGAAGTTGTTTCTGGAAAGTCACTTTGTCTGCCCCACCCTGCTTCAGAGAAGAGAAGTGTTATCCCGGGAAATGGAAATGCCAGGAGAGAGCTTCCTGTGCTTAGCCGTCTCTAGAGAAAGTTTCTATAATGATTTCTTAAGAATTGATGGTAGTATTCTGAGGCGGGGGTGGGGGGGTAAAAAGTGGTTAATTTCCTTTGCTATTCCAGAAACGAGAGGTAGATTGGAGCCTTTTCTTTAGCGCACTTGATATATAACGTGCGTGTGCATGTACCCTCGTGCACACACGCTGCTATAAACGGTCTTTGATCGTTTCACATCCTGGACTTGCACGAATAATGGTAACCTTTGAGTTTTCCACTCCAGACCTTTCATTTCACAGGGTGGACACAGAGGTCTAGAGGCGGGAGGGTGCTGTCATATTTGGGACCAGATCTCAGGCAGCTTAGATTCCTGTTCACAGTTGATTCCATTGCTCCATTCTGTCTTGATGCTGTTTTACATTTACGTAAAGTTTAACACATGTGGATCTATATGAAATCTTGCAGGGAAGCATATATGTATATATGGATCTATTTTTTTGTTTTTTAATAAGGAGATCAAGTGAAAATGTATCTCAGAAGAAGGTTTTGATTATCGGAAAACTTGCCTTCCCCCCCAAACATACACATGTACACACACACACACACACACACACACGCGTACACATACACAAACACACAAGTTAAAGGTGTGAACTGAAGGAAAACTAGTCCCTTGCATGGGTGCCACACAGTAAAGAAATACGCTTCCCAGGCTCTGTCCCCTGCTCTGGGGGCAGGGGAGTGGTCAGGGCCCTCACGGCGCCTCTTTAATACGTGGTGCGTTGTGCCTCCATCTCAGGTGCTACCAAGATTGTTCCGGTGGAGGCTGGGCCCCCGGAAGCAGGAGCCGCAGACCCCGAGGCCGCAGCGGCCGACCTGGCACCCCGGAGAGGGTACCAGGAGTACGCCATCCAGCAGACACCCTATGAGCAGCCCATGAAGTCAAGCAGGTAAAGCGTCTGTTCTGTGCGACTCCAGCCACCGCTGCAGAGGGCGAGAGACGGGCGTGTTAGCTTAACAGAACGCTGTGTGCAAACCCATCTATGAAGGGTTTTGGTTTCTTGATTGAGCCTGAGAACTAGACCCTCCATTACGGCCCTAGAGTTCTGGCTGAGCCCAAGCAGCCTCTGTGGGATGCGCGGCAGATCAGCAAGCATGCTTGGGAAACGCAGCGCCTCGGCTTAAGGAAGGTGGAGCGTTCTGCTTAAGGAAGATGTATGCTTAACCTGAATAAAAAGAGGTGTGAACAAGGCCTTACTTCGTAAATTAGCTGATTTTCATAGCTCCACAATTTATAGTGAAAAAGAAAATTTTCCCCCTACTTTCAAAAGTAGCATAAGCATCCTGTAGAAGGTTCCAACATCTGTGTGATGTGCAGTTACAGTAACCCATAGGGCCTCTTCTGGTCGTGGTCACTACTATGGACAGCGTGGTTCACGGGCCACCATAATTTTTTCATGATATACTAAAATATAGCACTTCAATTTTGTTATTTTTTTTTCCTAGCATAAAATACCAAAGGCACTGTTATCAACCTATTTTTTTAAACTTACCACACCTTGACTTTTTCCTTTTCAGTACATATTTTTTTAAAGTGTGTTTGCTGTCATGTACATGCACTAGTTTATATATAGCCAGTTTTTGCTTGACGGACAAGGTTTTGGTTCCTCCCTCTTTCAATACTTCTTCAAGACTTCCTGTGAGATAAACTGCTAGAATTGAAATTGCCGTCTTAAAGGATTTGAGTGCTTAAAACTTGAATCGACATTGAAAACTGTCCTCCAAATACATTGGGCGAGTCGATGTCCCGGAGGGGACTAGCCTGCATGTCCCCCCACCCTCCCCATGGTCACCAGCTCAGCTGTGATACGTACCTGCTGACGTAGATCAGCAAACTCTCATCACCTGAGTTCTGTACACATTTTTCCCAGCTGAGGGGAAAGACAAAATGCCAGTGCAAGTGGGCTCCCTCTGTTTCTGGAAGAGGGGAAATGAGGAGTTCTTGATGAGAGCGTAACCTCTAGCACCAGACAGACCTGGGTTGGCTCTAGGCCCTTCTACTGGACTTCAGTCCAACAGATTAAACACCTTCTATGTGCCAGGCACTGGGGATGTGAGAGAGATTAGGACAGACATGGCCACTGCCTGGATGAGGCTCTGCTGTGAATGGGCACAAATGCTTTTGCCTCTGAGCCTCTCTTACACCAGCCACAAGATTGTCCAGTAGAATCTGACTTAGTTTAGTGGTGGGAATAAATGACAACATACATGGAAAGTGCTCTTGTTGAATTATAACATCATGTCATCTGGGTGCTTCATTAATCTGTAGCCTCACTCCTCTCTTCTTGCAAATGTGAGCAACTGAATTAATCGATAAAGCTGTATGTAGAAATATGCACTCCTTTGGCAGAACTGAAATGGAATTAATTTTGAGGATCTTTCTTGTCTCAACGCAGGTTGATCTGTAGACCTTAGTTAATTATCTTCATAATATTTCAGGGTCTGTTGGGGAGGGTTTCAATTCAATGCTAATCTAGTTACAGGTAAGTATACTCAATATTTAATCAGTAGATTGAGGCTGTATTCCTGTTGTCAAGCATTCTATTAATATTTTATAGTCTAAATTGTAAAACAGTTATGAAAGAGGCTTTTCATATGACAAAAGTCTGGAAATCTATAAGGAAAAATATTATTTGTAATCTCACTACCCTAAGATAAGCACTGTTAATATTTTTAATGTTCCCTAAGATAAGCAGTTAATATTTTTAATGTTATTTCCTTCCAGCCTTTTTTCAGCCCATATATTTTATAAAATCGAGTTTATATTTGTTTTCTTTGTTGTTCTTTTTTTGTTTTTTGCGGTACGCGGGCCTCTCACTGCCGTGGCCTCTCCCGTTGCGGAGCACAGGCTCCGGACGCGCAGGCTCGGCGGCCACGGTTCACGGGCCCAGCCGCTCCGCGGCACGTGGGATCCTCCCGGGCCGGGGCACAAACCCACGTCCCCTGCATCGGCAGGCGGACTCTCAACCGCTGCGCCACCAGGGAAGCCCTCGAGTTTATATTTTATGTGCAGTTTTGTATCCTGCTTTTAATACTTAATCCCATTATACTTACTTTCCTTTGTTACTCAGATTATTCACAAACTCTGTTTTGTAGTGACGTGTTGTAGCATCGTGATCCACGACTCAGCTCTCCACACTGCAGCCAGTGAGCTCTTTGTAAAATGCCCATTTGATTGTGCCCTTTAAGGCTTCACATTGCTGTTAGGAGAACTTGGCCTATAGGGTCTTCCACGGCTGCCACCTCTCCAGCCTGGTCCCCCTCCTGTGCTCCCTCTGGTTCTCTGGGCTCCAGCGTCTGCTCCAGCCATCCGGGTCCTTTTTATTTCCTTGGTCTCTCCTGCACGTGCCCCTTCCTCATACTGGATGCCTCCCCTCCCCCTCACTTGGTTAACTCCTGTTCACATTTCAGCTGTCTGCTCAAATGTCCAGTCTTCAGGGCGGCCTTCCCTGTCCCCCAGACAGATAAGTCCGCCTGGACCTGGGCTCCTAGAGCATCCTGCCTTTTTCCATCACAGGGAGCTGGTGGTCCTTATCTGCTCATTTATATGGTTACCAGGCTGGCCCACCACTTACTATAGAAGGTGCACTACAAGGGAGCATGAGTTGTGTTTGTTTTTGTCCCCATTGTGTCCCCAGTGCCTGGAATACTTTTTTGAAAGAATGAATGAGTGAATGAGTGAGTTAAAAAAAAAAAAATGTCCAAACTAGTTCCCTACGTTGGAGCCTTCAAGCAGCTTCTACTCTTAAACTGTTGTGAAAACTCATGCAATGAGCACCTTTGCTTGAATTTCGTATTCTTTCTTTCGCTAGATTCCCAGCAGTGGAATAACCGGATCAAGGGGTCTGATCCTTTAAAGCTCTGGCTGAATGCTTTCTAAAATGCAGTGGGAGAGAGTGCTTCTCTCAACGAATAGGGGACATTCGGAGTGAAATAATGTGATAGGAATCACCCGACGTCGCAGCTCTGTGCATCAGCCCACAGGTGCAGGCTTGCGCTTGAGAGCCTGGTGCAGGCGGTTTGGCCGCTCCTTCCGATTCATCACCCTTGGTGGGAGGCAGCACTGAGGGCTTGACCAGGTAGTCGGGTAGTAATACGAAAAAATCAGAGTCAGAGACGCTCCTAAGACCATTTATACCTTTTGCATTAGAGAAGGCAGTACTGTGACTTGTTTAATTAATGCTGTGAATCCAGAGTTTCTTCCTCCAGTAAAATGATCACCTTCTGGGTATCTTTGTCATTTAAGAAAGGTCCAAATTAGTTTCCTTAAATTAGCCTTGGGTTTAGCGTGCAGGCATAGTACTGACTTTCAGATTTGAATGTTTTAATTACAGCATGGGACTTCTACCCTCTGGTGTTTATGGACCTCAGTCTGCTTAAATATTTTTCATTTAAAACATAAGGTAACCTGTGTTGGTCAAACACAGTTGTATGGATAGTTCCATAAATATAGACTTTACAGTTACAGTGGGTACAGCTTAATGGTGTCTGATTAATGGCACTAAATGATCGTCAGTGTTTCTGAGGACCTACCTGGATAACCTAGGCAGAATCCCGATGGAGCAGTTATGGAGAGAGGAAGCCTCACCCGCCTCACAGGAGGTCTTCTCCGCGTGTATGGTCCCACCGGCGAGGGGGGTTGGTGTTCACAGTGTTTCCAGGCAGTAGGAGGATGTGGAAGAATGTGCAGGTTCTAGTCTGCTTGGGTTCAAATCCTGGCTTCACCACTTACTAACTGTATGACCTTGGGTTATACTCAGTTTTCTCACCTGTAAAATGGGCATAATGATAGGGTTGAAATTAAATACTTAGCAAAGAGTTTTGAGTATTGTAAGTACTCAGTAATTGTTAGCCGTGATTACTATTACCATCTCATCCAGCATCCACGTCGCCGTATTGAGAGAGAAAGGACCTGTGAGGCAGACCAGTCTTTCATTCTCTGTCGCATACACAAAATCTAACACAGTGCCCGAAACGCACAGGCGAGTGGTAATAAAATGGCAATCACTTATTAATTAATGATGTCTGAGTTTAACAAATGGCAGTTGAACAACCTTATTTTCCCTGTCTGAGTTCTGAACCAGACATGCTGGAGGAGGAAGAAGACGGGGGCTCACACGTCAGGCCCATGACTGGTGGAGCCATGGGAGAAGGGAGCCTGGGGCAGGTCACACTGAGCTCCCGCTGGCTGTCCTGCACGTCTGCCTCCCCCCACCTTGGCCCTTGACTGCCGCCGCCAGGCTCTCCTGGCTAAGCGCCTACCGTGTCACGTGCTGTCCGCAGGCAGACGCCTTCTCACCAGAAAGGCAGGAGTGAGCGCAGCTGTGGAGGCTTGGTCCTGTTCTAAAGTCCCCGCTCAGATACGCCAGTTCCCTTTTCCTGGGGAGAAGTGAGGACGTGGAAAAAGGCCAGGGCTCTTTCACGAAAGGGTGGCCCTCACGTGGAAATTTGCAGCAGAGAGAGAGTGTTACCCTGACAGTTGATGGAATGAATAGGCGAATCTGGATGATCAAAACTATTGAACAAACCCAAGCAGGTCGTATCTAGTTTCATGGAGCAGACTGAGTTCATTCCATTAAGACTGGTCCTGTTAGAATACCTTGGAATTCGTCCGGGTCAGCTTTGGAGCACCGCTGGCTACCGTGTGCCTAGCAAATGACACATCCCTCTGCCTTCTCTTGCCCCCCTCTTCCTTATTCTGCATCCCTCAACTCAGACATCTCCTCTTCCCAACTACCTTCACCTGTGTTAGAGGGCTCCTTCTCTTTTGCCCGCACGTGCACCTGTCACCACTCGCACACTGTCCTGCAGCCGTGTGCAGACCTGTCTCCTCTCTCCCAGCACCAGGGCAGCAGGGGCCCGGTCTTCCTCTCCATGTGCTCCTGGTCCGCTCTACATCTCCCCGTCCTGTTTGTTGATGAATGAATGCATGCGTCCGTCCTCAGCCCCTTTTAGCTCACTTTTAAGCCTTCGGTGTTCGGCAGCTGGAAGGAAGTAGGGGTCATCAGGAAGGTGCCGGATCTCCACCCGTAATGGTGCTGTCTTCTGTTTCTAGGCTCGGGCCCACCCAGCTCAAGATCTTCACCTGTGAGTACTGCAACAAGGTCTTCAAGTTCAAGCACTCACTGCAGGCCCACCTGCGGATCCACACCAACGAGAAGCCGTACAAGTGCTCCCAGTGCAGCTACGCCAGCGCCATCAAGGCCAACCTCAACGTGCACCTGCGCAAGCACACGGGCGAGAAGTTCGCCTGCGACTGCTGTTCCTTCACCTGCCTGAGCAAGGGCCACCTCAAGGTGCACGTGGAGCGGGTGCACAAGAAGATCAAGCAGCACTGCCGCTTCTGCAAGAAGAAGTACTCCGACGTCAAGAACCTCATCAAGCACATCCGCGACGCCCACGACCCGCAGGACAAGAAGGTCCAGGAGGCCCTGGACGAGCTCTGCCTGATGACGAGGGAGGGCAAGCGGCAGCTGCTCTACGACTGCCACATCTGCGAGCGCAAGTTCAAGAACGAGCTGGACCGCGACCGCCACATGCTGGTCCACGGCGACACGTGGCCCTTCGCCTGCGAGCTCTGCGGCCACGGGGCCACCAAGTACCAGGCGCTGGAGCTGCACGTCAGGAAGCACCCGTTCGTGTACGTCTGCGCCCTCTGCCTCAAGAAGTTCGTCAGCTCCATCCGCCTGCGCGCCCACATCAAGGAGGCGCACGGGGCCGCCCAGGAGACCGTGGTCTTCACCAGCTCCATCAACCAGAGCTTCTGCCTCCTGGGGCCTGGCGGGGACATCCAGCAGGAGGCCCTGGGCGGGCAGCTGCAGCTGGCAGAAGAGGAGTTTGTGTTCCAGGGGGTGAACGCACCCAAGGAGGCGGCCGGCGCTGGGGACGCTCGTCCCGAGGAGGGGTCCAAGGCCCCAACAGAGGTGCCCGTCGCACCTGTGTGCTCGGCCGCCGCCCAGGCAGACAGCGCCGCCCCAGCACCCTGCGAGCTGGCGGCCTCCGCGGTGTCCTCCGACCTCCGTCGGCATGCGGTGGTTTCCGATGAGTTCCTGTTGAAGAGTGATCCCTCCTCTGCTGAGGCTCTGGCTGCTCCGGAGAAGACCTTGCACACCCAGCAGGGAGGCTCCAGTCCAGCTCAGGGCCAGGACGTCGCACCACTGCTGTCCAAGGCCAAAGGCGCCGCAGCAAACCCGGAAGCCCAGGGCGCCGAGAGCCCCCCGGCTGAAGGGCAGCAAGTGGCTGCCCTCCCATCCGATGGCCCAGATCCCGGCAGGGGTCTCAGGGCAAACCCAGCCGAGGCCTCAGACCCTCCTCCGGGAACTGGTGGGAGGGACGCGGCCCTGTGCCGCCCTGACTCTTGCACGCCCGCCCCCGAGCACCGGGCGGGCATCACTGCGTTCATGAAGATCCTGGACAGTTTACAGAAGAGGCGCATGAATACCGGCCTGTGCGAGAGGATCCGGAAGGTGTATGGCGACCTGGAGTGCGAATACTGTGGTAAGGGGGGCGCCGGGGTGCGCGGCTGGGGGCTGCCTTCCCAGCAGCCCCTCCCATCCCCGCCTGGCTATGGGTCACCTGGTGTTTGAGTTGAGCTCGTGTCTCTTTGCACAGAACGCCTTCTAAGTGAGCTAGCCGTCATTCGTAGATAGTGATGTGCACAGTGGTGCGTGCAGTTTAGCACGTGAAGCCTGTGAAGGCAGCCAGGATGGCGGGACAGCTAACCGTGCTGGCTCCGTCAGGCGTGCAGGCGGACGCTTAGCCCACGGCCTCTGCCAGAACTTTAGCCAAGAAGCACCTTTCTTCTGGCACGTGACAAGTTTAAAGTCGAGCTTTAAGCTGTGGCCATGTCCTAGATGAGCAGAGGGAGATCACAGAAGTGGCTGCAGCTCTTTGTAGGGAGACCCCGAATGCAACCCTCCCAGCTTGCCGTGAAAGCGTGGCCTCTGGTCTCGTGGAGAGCTGGCAGGACAGGATGTAGATGGCCCAGGTGTCAGCAGAGTTTAGAGGCTCGTTGATTTCACGCGTGTGCATCAAGGTAGTTGGCACCGTAATTGGTCCTCGATAAACATCCGTTTCCTCCTCTCCCAGCTGTGACATCATGCAGAAGTAGTAGCACCCTTACTATTCGCCACCTGCCGCCTTTGAACAGTCATGTCCAGCCAGAGGTGTGGTGCACAGCGTGAAGGGTGACCCGGACGAGGCACGAGAGGGAGAGAAATATAGTAGTTAAAAAATAATACTAATTAAAAGAAATCAACTTCAGGATAAAAGAAACTTCCTTGTTCTCATGTGAAAATATTTTTTTAGGCAAACTTTTTTGGTACCAAGTGCATTTTGACATGCATGTCCGCACCCACACCCGGGAACATCTGTATTATTGCTCCCAGTGTCATTATTCTTCCATCACCAAAAACTGCCTTAAACGCCATGTAATTCAGAAACACAGTAACATCTTGCTGAAGTGTCCCACTGACGGCTGTGACTACTCGACTCCAGATAAATATAAGCTGCAGGCACATCTTAAAGTTCACACAGAGCTGGTAAGTAGCGCGCCCGAGCGGCAGCCCCGTCTCCCCTGGGTGCTCCCTGCTTCCTCACAGTGATGCATACGGAGGCGCCCGTGCTCCCCGTGAGCCCTGTGTGTGGGCGTCTACCCCGGAAAATGGGGAGGTCCTTCTCACGAAGCAGGCCCTCCACTTTACAAAGGCCTCCATCCCAGGGCTCCGGTCACAGGGACAGCCTCACATATGTTGGAAAAAAGATTACATTGAATAAATTTGCTTTTCTATGCAGATTTTTAAGCATCGGAGAAAGTCTGCAGAATAGGAGTAAAGCAAGGGTTTCTTAAATGACGTTTTAAAGAACCCTAAATAACAGGGATGATAATAAGAATAGCCGCCACTAAAAGCTGTTGAGAGAGTGAGTTAAATGATGCCTGTCAAGTGCTAAGTACGGCGTTCGGGTCATAGTGAGAGCACAGTAAACGCTGATGATCACTGTTGTCGTATTACTGTGCTATTTCTTGGAAAGCCTATGGAAGAATGTCTGTAAAGCACTTAAAAAAAAAGTGATATGTTAATTCAAGGTGCTGTTAATATTCATGGTGGCAAAATGTGTTTAATTCACTGGTGGGTGTTGAACATGTGATACAATGAGTGAATGTTTATTTTAGCAAATGCTACTCTAACTTGAGAGGCTGACACCTGAGAGTGATTTGAGACTCTCCAAGTTATAAAGGAGGCGCACCTGGCCCCAGGTGTGGTTCTGCTTTAACTGCATTCCTTTCTAGGCCACAGGCTGCGCACCATGAGGCTTCAGAAACTTGATGTGCCGCCTCCGTTTTCTGGCCTAAAAATCACTAACGCTCCAGCAGTTTGTTACCAAGGGTGAAGTCAGGGTGTTTTGGGTTTCGTGGGTAGGTAAGAGCCTGCGCTTTGGGGTTGGATACCTGGATTCAGGTATTGTCTCCAGTATCTGCGCAGGCTGTGTGATGCTGGACAAGTCACTTGTCCTTTCTGAGGCTTGGTAGCCTTCTATATAAAATATATATTAAAAAGTATATCAGCTTTGTACACACACACACACACACAAACACATATATATACACACACATATGCACAGACACATCCACCCATGCAGTCTACACATGTGTACACACGTACCGCACACACCCCTGAACATATAACGCACATGTATGCACTTGTATGTGTATGTGTATGGGTCTCCTGGGTTATTGGGAGGTTAAAACGGAGTGCTCTAGGTAAAGAACCTGGCTCAGAGCTTGTATAGGTGACTGCGTGGCAGCTGCTGTACGTCACTTGGTACCTCTTAGTTCCCGTTCTCCTCTCTCTCTCTCTCTCTCTCTCTCTGTGCGTGTGGGGCATGAAAGGTGTGCTATTCCTGTTTACTCACAGGCAGCACACGCATTTACCTGGGGTGTCGAATGACTACGCGCTCTCCCTGAGGCAGGCGGACTGTGTTGCCGATGTGGGAAGAGAGCATTCTTTATGAAAACAGGTTCCAGTGTTTTGAGTTTAGACCATATTTGTCTTTAGAGCCTGTCAGTTATGTCTGTGATGAAGCCACAGGCACCAAGAGGATGGTGACACGGTGGAAAGACCTCCCATTGTCTGTCATCGCTTATTTCCCCTCCCTGAGTTCCTAGGCAATGACCCATCTACTTTCTGTCTCCATGGATCTGCCCATTCTGGACACTTCATGTAAAAGGAGTCATAAGATATATATATATATATATATATATATATATATATATATATACAATAATGGTGTGCACACCGCACCCCACTTTCTCAGGATGGTGGTGAGGCTCCAAGGAGAGAGCACAAACGAGCTTTGTGATGTGAAGGTGCCTAAGGACGCTGGTCAAGCGTGGGGAGGCATCTCTCCGGCAGGGAGCCCAGGGCCGTTCTGACCTGGGTCCAGTCCCCATGTCCGTGTGGGCCTTGGTTTCCTTGCCTGTGACCCAGAGAGATGGGGCCAGGTGCGCTGAAAGTCTGGTTGGGCTCTCACATTCCATCCAACACTTAGCTCTTTGCAACACAGATTCCCATGTGGTGAAAAAACTAAGGAAATTTAAAGTAGAATGCATCCCCCTCTGTCCCTCCCAAAATGAGCCTATAGTCATGTCCATTCCGGTTGCACTGGGACTCCAGGATAATTTGGCTGAGTGCCCGTTTCTGTGACTCCCAACAACCGTTTCTTAGCTAAAGACACACCTAATGACTGGAAGATGTGTGTGCATTTAATGTAGCTTCTTCCATCACCTCCTCCCTCCCATTAGTAGCCAGATGGCGTGACTTGGAGTCAAGGATGTGTGGCATCAAGGAAACGTGGGGACCTGGCCAAAGGAGTTAGTCAATGACCGGAGCAAACCCATTTTATTTATAGCACTGTGCAAACTTTGTGAAAGGGAGACTTGAGAAAACATGGTTTCTGTACAATAAAAGGCAGGCTTTGGGTTCTAGCATGTTAGAGTTAAGACCCCATATCCACCTCTGTGATCCTGGGCAAATTGCTCAGCTTCCCTTAAGCCTCAGTTTTCTCATCTGTAAAATGGAGATATGGTACTCTCTCCGACCTCTCAGAATTGTGAGGATTAAACTAGAAATTAAGTACAGAACAGCCAGGTCAGTGTTTTTTCAGCCCCCAGGTCATGATCCATTATAGGGTTGTGAAATTAGTGGATTACAACCAGTTTATCTTAAAAATGAAATGGAATAGAATGAAATAGAAATGATAAGCACTATTTACCCATGACAAGGTAATAGGTATTGTTTTCTGAGACCTTTTGTCCTGTGTTTCAGTGTGTTTATATGCCACTGTGTGTGCAAGTATGTTCTGGGTGGTGATGTCAAATGGGTGACCTCCTGTGTAGGTCCCATTCATTAAATAACTTTGTAAGTCACTGACCCCGATGATGTAAGTTATGACATCCTGAATCAGAATTACTTGAGGGTACACGTTATGAATGAGATTCCTGGCTCAGACCTCCACCATAATTCGGGGTGGGGCGGACCTGAGAACCTGTTGTTTAAATAAGTTCGCCCTGATACAGACGTTTGACATAGCAGGAAGTCGAGCTTATGGTGGATGTTCAGGATATGTCAGTCTGTCCCCTTTGTCTCTGGCTCGTGTCCCTTCTCAGAAGATCTCTCAGGCACCCAACGCTCAGGGCACTGTAGCAGTTACAAGTCCACACTTGGGAAGAGCGG